CTGTTTCAATTACTATGTATGTATATAGATATTTTTATGAAAAAAGTATATTTTTGAAATTTAAAAAAAAGGTCAAAAAAGACTTTTCATGATGACCTCAGCTGATGTAGGAATTGAAGCCAAATTGTTGGTGTAATTGCATCACAAACCACCCATCCAGCTAACTAAGCTAACCAACTCACAAAAAGAGTTGTATATTACATCAGAAGATAATTGACATTTTTAAGACATCTCATTTCCCAATAACTGGGTAGGTATTTTTATTCCACTACCGTAGAATTTTCATTTGCATCAGATTAATTAACTTAGAAGTGAAATTGCAAACCCTCTTTAACTGGTCAAAACAGCCTGCTAATTTCTGAATAGCAATAAATAGTGTGAAATTTAGACAATGGAACTGTTCTAAGGAAGAGTCACCGGACTCAAAACTCTGATTTTTCTTCACAAATGCTGCCAGACCTGCTGAGCTTTTCCAGCAAATTCTATTTTTGTTCCTGATTTACAGCATCCGCAGTTCTTTTTGGTTTCTATAAAGTATTTCATTACTTGAGGAAAACTTCTAATTTTATAACAAGTTGATAAATCAGTTGTTTTTCCAAGGACATGGAGCTGCTTTTGCTGACCTCACGATGCAGAGTATTGGCATACCTATGGCATATGGCATTATTCTGGTGAAAGGATTCCAGGAAATTATGTCATGAGCAACTTAGGTCATTACATATGCCATACCTTCAACAGTCCCTTTCAAACCTGACATGATAGAATGATAAGGACAGAGATGCATGAGACAACCTGTAAGTTTCCCTCCAAAGCATACACCATCCCAACTCAGAACTTTATCACTGTTCCTCCACTGTCACGGGGTCAAAATCCTGGAACTCTCTCCCTAATCAGCACTGTGGTGTACATACCCTTTATATAGTGGGTCAAGACTCAGCAACACCTTCGACAGGGCAATTAGGGATGGGCAATAAATGCTGCCATTGCAAGAGACACCAATATCCTGTGAACAAATTTAAGAAAAAGACTGATTTGCTATTGCTTTTTGCCTTGTTCCAGAGAAACAACTGCCAGAAAATTTGAATAGTAACAATTTGCATTTATACAGCACTTGAAAAAGTTGCTAAAAACATTCCAAGACAGCTGTTTGGAGTATTATCAACAAAATTGACACCAAGCCATGTGAAGAGATGTTAAGACAAAGAAACAAAAGCTCGTTCAAGGAGCAACTTGAAGGAAAAAAGCAATGTACAGCAAATACTGGAAATATGAAACAAAAACAGTAAATGCTGGAAATACTCAGCAGTTTTGGAAACATCATTGGAGAAGGTAACAAAGTTTAATTTTTAAGGTTGATTATTATTCTTCAGAATTGTCAAGTCATATCCAACAAATTTTATTTGAAGCATGTATTAATGCAAAAAAAATAGTTGAGGGAGCATAATAAAAGCAGAAATACTGAGCAGGTCAGGTAATTTAGTTGGTTCTAATGAAAGGTTAGCAACCTGAAAGGTTGTGATGAATTATACTGCCTTACCTAGGTTGCAGAATATTCCATCCAATTAGGCCTGCAGCATCAGCACTCTGTCACTTATTGACAGGCTTCTTCTAATAAAATTGTTGAGCCTATGCTAGCGCAAGTATGGATACTCGACACCCTGTTTATCCAATGTCATGATCCTGAATTTTATTGGCTAACCCCATTTCCCTCTCCAAAGGTATTGTCTATGGTTCCTGCCAAGTATTTCCGGCACTTGGTGTTTATCAGATTTTCAGCGTCTGCAGTATTTTGGTTTAAATACTTAAGGGAGGAACCTTGTTCACAAAAGCAGAAAAAATAACCCTTCTCTTTGCATACTGCTATGACATTTTTCATTTACACAATAACATGGAAAATAATTTGGCTTTAATACAAAAATGACATTTTCCAGACCCTTCCTAAGTATTGCATTCAAGTATTATGTTTTACTCAAGTTTTGTATCAGGCTTTGAACTCTCAACTATCTGAACTCAGCGAAACTGACAGGGATGATTTTAATATCCTTACCGTAAGACAGGATTTTCCCCATGGGCTTTGGTACACGAATGTTATGATTAAATAGAGTCAGAGGTCAACACTGTGAGGGAGTTTTTTTTTAGCCAAACTGTTCATACCTGTCGTGACACATCTCCAGAACAACTAAGCTTTGAACCCAGATGTTTGGGCCCAGAGGTAGGGGTGCTACCACTGCATCACAAAACCCAGTGCATGATAGTAATTTTCCTGAATTACTCAACTAACGGTCAGTTGTCCAATTAATGAGCAGGCTTTCAAAGTTGAAGGGCCAATTGGAGGCTGCCTTTTCAAGTAAATGCACTTCCATTTTAAGGTACCATTGTTCCAATTTTTTAAAAAACTTAATTAATAAATCCCTACATGATATTGCTGTATACCAACAGTGAATGTAACTTAAAGCGAGTTTGTCTCTGTGACCTCCATAAAGGATAACTTGATGTAGTTCTCTCCAGTCATTTCCGAAAGATAACCTCTTCAAAGGAAAAAAAAGACTGCAAAGTGGACAGAGCTTCAACCCTACCACTCTGGCATTATATCTGGATTTCTGACAGTTATCAGAAATTCAAATCAGAACAAATTTCTTCACCTGAAGTAAAGGGAGTTATGGTTGCTGAACTTTTACAATAAATGATGTAGCGATCCTGATGTAATTGTGCTGACTCATGCTGACATTCAGAAAAGGGAAATTGTTCATGCTTAAGATCTTTAAGTTAACATTAAATCACATTTGTGCTGACTTGTATGGACCCAGGGAGAAAGACCAAATTCTACACACAAGATCAACACTATCAATGTCTTGATGCTCAACATGTTAAAGAATTATGGTTTGTTTTGACAGGGTTACTAAAAAATGAAAAGAGTTTCTGGATTATTCTATTTAAAGAAAACAGCCTCCAGGGATGTTTGCACAACAAACATACTGTTCGATCAGTTCAGAATTGCTCCCAAGAACTTAGTACTATTGTACAAACAAGGTCTTCATAAAATGTAGTAATAAGGGTGATTTTACAATGCTGTGCAAAATACAACTTTCCTAAATCAACATATTGGAAATTCTTACTTTTTGTGCTTCTACAAGAAACAGCAACCAAGAGCTGAGAACCACATTTACAAATGGATCAGAATTCTTCCTGTAAGTTAATCCTTTATCTGTTGTGCTATATTGGTAGTTTCTTATCAACCTAAAATAAATTTTTATGATCTTATCTGTTTGTTTCATGATTTTCTAGGACCTAGACTAATTTCTTTGACCTGAAGGACAAATTTTAATGGAACTGACTCACTGGAGGCTGGGTGTCGTGCTGGCTGGGTGTCGTGCTAGCTGTGTGTCAGAAATCCAGTCAGTGCAGTAGTGGGCATTACAAAGGTATTTTAATACTGACACTGCATAAGAATCCCACCCAAGTTTCTGGGCCAATTGTAGAGCTATGGTGCGATAACAGCCTATGTCTCATCAATGGAAGGATTTCTCATTAAACCCTAACGATAGTCAGAGTGGCTAAATTCTACATCAAATCTTGACGTTTCAGCAATCACTTGAATAGAAGTGAGATGTGGATTCCTGCTCACTGTTATAACTAATTCTTCCTTGGTGGATGCTAAAACCCAGATTCTGAATTGCCTAACCTCCTCCAGAACACTCTTCAGACCACCACACTTTGCAGCACCATTTATTCCTTTCTATATTGAGGCATCATTTACATTCCCACCTGAACAGCTAATGTCCGCATTCACCTTCTTCCTTTTGTCATCTCATATCCATGCCTCATTGTCACCTTCTGTAAATGTTGTTAGCCCCTCTACTCTGCATGTCCAATTTCTCACATTCATTAATCTGTCTTCTCTCTGGGAATGAGAAGACGTCACAGAATTCCAGCAAAAGTCAGAGAACCAGATGGCCCTCCAATGTCAGCCACCTCAAAATATTATGGAGGAGGACACATTGGAGATCAGCACAGTAATGGAGTGCAAGGCCATTGATAATGGAATGTTCAGATCCTTCCAGATAGAATTGGAAATCACACTGCCACATAGCATATAATAATCACTTTGTCACATGCTGTCAGCACTAACCGAAAAGCAAGATCCACACTGTGGTGGCATTTTAGCCTTTTCCTATTGTCAATTCAGTTTTCTATCTTCCATTTCCCAAAGGAACTAGAACAGGAAGAGGCCCAGGCTATCTGAATGGGCAGGTGCAGGCTTATTAGGTTCCCTCTCATCCTGCACCTCTCAGATGCAGAGCTGTTATCACCCAGCAGTTCTATACTAGAGACACCTGCAGACTCTTTCTAGAAAAGGCAAGGTAGAGTCCCACGGTTTTCCAAGACCTCAGGGCTGCTCTCTCATTAGAGAGAGATGACTGATGACAGTTTAATCTGAGGATCTTCTTCAACAGCTTAAGGCTTGCTATGCAAATGCCTTTATAGTTATGCGAGTCAGCAAATTCCAGGAAGGAGCCTGATACAAGGAAAGTCAGGGCTACGGTGACCTTGATGGCCACTGGCAAACCATGCCCACTTGCCCCTCCTAGACATCCTGTTCCAGGAGGCTGCACATATTAATAAGAACCCACTGGGAAAACCTGATCCATGAGGCATTGTTGCTCCAACATTCTGATGAAGATCAACACAGAATATTTGTCTATCTACAGAATGTTGGTACAAATTGATTTTGATTTAATTGAAATTGATTTTGGAAAAATCTAAGCCGGTATTTGCAGGGGATCTCCACATAAAACACATGAAAACCAAAGGCATTTTAAAAAATGATATTTTGTTAGAGCTATTATGGTATTTTAGAGGCCATAACCTCTCTGCTATTCTGCCACAAAGTACTATATGAGTCAAAGTAAAAACTATAGACTGAATCTTACCATGTTTTGGCAAAATGTCATTTTTGCAGTTTTATTGAGGGTTTCTCTTCACGTGGCCTCATGAGTTCTCTCGTAAAATTGTCCCAAACTCCCCTCATTAACTACCTACTATGACCCTATGATGGCCCTCTTGTCTGATGCTAACCTGATTCTCCCATTCACCATTGTTGGAAATGTGCATCATTACCTGTATATCCCAGCATGTACAGGCATCCCTGGCACTGGTGATGTATTTAAAGTGTTGTGTACCTGGTTAACTGCTGAGAGTCTGGTGTTGCCCTGCATAGTTCTACACATTCTCCCTAGGCAATGCAAGTAAGGGCAAATTGATGCCCAACCTTGCAGAAAGGAATCAGGAGGTTGTGTGGATGGGGTAGTGGAGAGGAGGGTTGTCCTTATCCCACAAGTTTGGCAGAGGAGGCCACACCCCCAGACCCTGCCAGCCTGGTCCAAGATCACCACCCGAGTTAGTAAGGTCCGTGGAATTACGCACAATGCAGAAGAAAATGAATGAACTTTTCTGCTGTGACAGGTAACAGCCATTTTTTTTTTCCCTGTTATCTCATACTTACCATTACCTCTACAGCACCCACACTGCCCACCAAGGCTCAGCCTCTACCATTCTTACGATTAGATGCAGCATCTTACAGACTCACTCTTACACATCCCAGAACCCCTACTCTACAAAACCTGCATGGCTAATTCTATTAACTCTGTGCAGCTTATTCACTTACTCAGACATCTCAACACCTTACCCCTGACATGCAACAGTACCAACAGCTGTGCACCCATCTTCATATCACTCAATCTCTCCCTCAGTCTGTCATCCAATGAGAAAAAGACGCACAAAACGGCCAGAATAACCAGGGCAGGTCATGGGGTACCAGATATGCATCTCCTCATCCCCCACAAGGACAGCATCTTGGCCCTTGCTGGGGAAGATTGGGACTGCTCCTGTCGAAGTGTGCAAACCTCCATGTTCTGACAGTCAAGTAAAACACATCGTTCATCATCATGCTAACATCTCATCACCTGCACTGTGCATTCAAATGTTAAGATGCTACAACTTCTACCCCTTGGTTGCAATATTCTGTTTTTTGTTTTCTGTAGGTATTAATGGGATGTCTATGATCTCCACAGTCAAATGAGTCAACCCACTGGACATGCCCTGTCCATTCTGAGGAATAAGAGTACAGATGCATCAGTGGAAACACTAGCCACTCTGTACCCTCCACAGACTCAGAGACTGACACTTCGGTGGGTGCATTAGCTATGATTAGAATTGGGAACACAATTTTGTGAGTACATCAATACTCCATCTTCCAGCCGGTTAGAAGAGAAATGACCCCAGACCTTGGGGAGACCAGGCAGATGCTCAGCACCAGGCAGGAGGGGACCCCATGGTATCAGCAATTTATGACTTCATAGAAATGCAAAAGCATGCACAGGAACAGCAAGCAGGGTTATCTGGGACACAACATATTCACCCCTTTATTGATGACTGCTGACAAGCATAATAAGCTGCCTGGCTTGGTGTCTGTACTAAACTACAATGCAATCAGCAGTACTGTGAACATTTAAGGTCTGGCTGAGAGGACAGAGTGCCAAAAGACAAGACGAGGCAGAGATATTATGATCATTCAGGTAACCGCTACACGACTATATGCTAAGATAGCTAGCAAGCACCCTGAGATGCAGCCTGGTTCAGTGAGTGAGCTGGGTCTCTGTCTCTGCCTGCAAACTATCCTTACAGCATCATTGCAACGATAGTTGCTGGTGAGCCCCAAAGTGCAGCAGTGAAGTGGAGAAGTCGGTCAAGATGTGCCATGAGGATGCAGAGAGCCCAACACATGTCAGATATCAGTGTCTGTGGTTCAGTGTCATGCAACTTCTGTGCATGAAGCGTGGCCTAAGACACTGATGTCAGATGTCCAAGATGGAGGTCCAGAGGAGCAAGCAACAATCTAGAGTTACCAGGTACCCACTTGATTTTTATGTCAGGAATTCTAGTTTCTATCCAGCACATGGGAGAATGAGAATGTATATATTAAATGAGGTGAAATTAGGTAGTAATTAAGGTGATTATGAACAATATCTCCGTTAATGGGCTTCTGGCTGCTCAATAACAAGAATCCAAAACCTTAAACAAGAATCCCATCTCAAAAGTCAAAACTTCATTGGAAAACACAACTTGTTGCTCCTGATGTAGATAAAGGCCTCTCTTGACTTCTCAGATGATTCTCCCATACTTCTCACTATAGCTCACGTGATTCAGGCCTTGAGAAGATTCCTCCCTTTTTGTAATAAATTCCAAATAAGTCAAAAAGTGCAAATCTTCTTTACCTAACCTGCTTTAAACTTGAGAGTCTTTTTATATAATCATAGATCATAGAGTCCCTACAGTGTGGAAACAGGCCCTTCCGCCCAACAAGTCCACACCGACTCTCAGAACATCCCACCCCTACCCATCCTCCTATAACCCACCTAATCTACACATCCCTCAACACTATGGGCAATTTTCCATGGCCAATCCACCTAGCCTGCACATCTTTGGACTGTGGGAGGAAACCAGAGCACCCGGAGGAAACCCACGCAGACAGAGGGAGAATGTGCAAACTCCACACAGACAGTCGCCCGAGCCTGGCGCTGTCAGGCAGCAGTGCTAACCACTGAGCCACCAGATTAACTTTTAAAAATAATTTCTTGTCTCTGTAAGGAATCATGCAAAATACTATTATTGTCAGCAGTCATCAGTAAAGGAGTGAATATGTTGTGCCCCAGATAACCCTGCTTGAAGTTCCTGTGCATGGTTTTGTATTTCTATGAAGTCATAACTTGCTGATACCATTGGGTCCCCTCCTGCCTGGTATTTCTAGATCAGTAAAAGAAAAGCATGTTCAATTTCTTTTAAAAAAAATGAACTTTAATGTTGACATTAGCATTGTCATGGACTAAACTGTATATTATGTGTATTTAGAACAAACAAAATACATCCTGTTGAAATCTCTGAAACAGCATTTATAACCCCATTCCAGAAATATTTAGTTCATGTAAAAAACAAAAAGAACATTGTCATTTTACAGCTAATTGAACAGCTACAACTTCTACCCCCTCCCCAAATTCTCAAATATTTCCAGCTCATAGTAAAATTTTATCATAGACAGAAATATCACATGCAGTATCACTGGCACTGGCTTAAAACAGACACCTGGTATTGCAAATACCAAGTTGTCCATTTGGAGTTACGCCTCTCAGCTGATTTGTTGACACATCTGTCAGTACATGAGGGACAAAGTATTTGTGAAAGGGAAAATTGACAATTTGTCAGTAATACGTATACATCACCTGTCATATGGAAATACAGCATATTACTGGCAGAAATATACCGTCAGATGGAAATAAACTGGCAGTAACATTACACCCAGTAAGGATTCAGATATAATGACAACACTGTCAGTGTATACAACAGACAAGCACAGTCAATCAGAACG